GAGAAATAGAAACCTGAGAAATACTAATTAAAGTGAAGCATTCATTATATAAAGAGATTAAACATTCAAATATGTTTTACAATGGAAATTAAGAAACTATGTTTAAAAATACTTTACTTATCCATTGTCATTTCCCAACATGCAGCACTCAGAATTAAAAAAAAAAAAGTTCCTGAGTGCTAACAGAGAAATTTTAAGAGATTCCTTGCTATAGAGCAGTGCTTCTCAAATAGTGGGGCGCGCCCCCCAGGGGGGGCACGAGGCTCCGTAAAGGGGGGCTCGTTTGACCTCGGCAAATACTGTCGGCAGCCCAACGCGGAGGACAACATGACCGCCAACGCACGTGACACATGCAAAGGACCCGATTGGATAGACATGATGCTCTATCCTGATTGGCCAAACCCGCCCGTGTGACTTTTAGACCCGGAAATCGGTCCTCTGTACAGAAAAAAAATGTTTACAGTCGCGTGGGGGGCGCGAAATATTTTCTTCTTCCTAGGGGGGCATAACAGAAAATAATTGAGAAGCACTGCTACAGAGGGACATGCAGACATGGCAGGTATATCTCTCTTGCTATGACCTCATGCCCCCCATTTCCCCCCATAGCATGAAGCTTTTTAAAAACCTCTAATTTGCTCAGATATAACATAAGGAAGGAAGGAATAAACTTTTTTCCTGTAATTGGGAGTTAAAAGTATGTAGTATTTGTATGTCTAACTCCCAATTACCAGAAAAGCTTTGATGTATAAGCTATTTTTAGAGTAAATAGCCACAACACCTTATAGCTGCACTGTACAGTTAGTGCTGGGGACTAAGATGGAATGTCTGGTTGTAACTTTCATGGGTGTTTCCAGACAAAATTAACACACCTTTGCTAGAAGCATTTCATTTGAATGAACTTTTTACCTCCAAAACAAACTTGGTCTTGCATGTGCCATATTTGGACTTAACTGCTTTATATATGCCTTTCAGATATTTTATAGTTCAAAAGCAAAACAACAGCTTCCAACATATGTAAAGGTGGGCTTGTAATGGTGGAAGAAGAGGCAAAAAATCCCTTACCCTGGACAACATAGTGTCTTTGTAATTTAAATATCCTCTAGTCTAGAGAGATCTAGGTTTCCAGGGCTAACGGTCATTTCCTTCTTTCAGACTTCTACCTTTGTCTTACTGCAATCCAACACAACACTTTATGTTGCTCACAATTTGAGAATGGATTTAAGAACCTGTTACTTATTTGAGATCCATAGGTACAAAGTGATACTTGCGTTCAGAAAATGGGTGTTAGATACTGATGAAATGGAGGCTGCACTATGGCTAACAGTTATTAATTCCTGTTTATATCAGTCTCCTATGAATCGTTTATTTATATCTTGCCAAATTCTGGTTCAATTAAAATAAAAAGAGAGGAGGAAGAGTCTTATGTGAATATAACAGTTTGTATTTAATGCAGTTCATACCTGAATGTGACAAAGCCTTTGTTAAGGATGATTGAAGTGAAGCATAATAGTTACATTTGGCTAACAGCTAATAAAAATGTAATTGCCATTATTTTTAGACTATACTTTTGATCATGACATCAACTTTCTCCTCTGTTCTTTTTTAAATCATTTATTATTTTCAGTGACAGGTATTAAAGGTCCTTCATTTTAGCCATTAAAATATTAATCCTCATGTTTTTTTAAATAGTGGCTAAACAACAACCATTCTACTTTGTGATGCTGCTTTGGGATCAAAAACCTTTTACTGTTGCAGAAAAGTTAATGGGGAAAAAAACTTTTCTGTGTGCTAAAAGGGATTTCTTCATTTCGACAGTTACATATTTCGTGAGCAGCAATATCAATGATTCTGTTTGGTATGTTGTTTGCTTATATGTGAACTTCTTTAATGCTTCCCATATCAGGAACCCAGACATTATTTGTAACAATTCCTTTCTGTAGCTTGCTTGTTCTGCTAGAACAGGCAAGATTTTTTTCTCAGCTGTAATGTTAGTGTCTCTCTGGGGTACTTTAACTAAATAAAAGTTCAGTGTCCACAGGCCATCAGTCTTACTCTGTCCCTCATTCACCCTTCCCATCACCCGCCCACCTTCAAACTAATCAACCAAACTCTGGGCGCTTTGAAATGTTTAGTAAGAAAACAGTTCTGTTTTGACAGACAGCAATTACAGCAGCTGGCTGAAGGCAGATTTTACAGCTCTTTAGGGGATCCCTTATGAATAGTAACTATGAAGTTGATGTACTTTTATACAAACAGGCTTTGAGACAAAAAAAAAAGTGCTTGATTCCGATCAAACATGTCTCAATGGTTGCCTATAGACTTTGGGAGAAGAACGAGAACTATCACATAGTAACCTTAGACTGCCTCTGTAGTAAAGTCTGTGATAGGAGCATCCTACCCTCCAACAAGTAGCTGCCCCTATCAGTTGAACCAAATTTATTTCCATAAGTACCGTTCTTGATTTCACAAGTTAAAAATGTACCTGAGGTTATGTACACAACAGCTGTCACCAGTCTTTATTGTTGGAACAACTTGTTTGCTCAGGTGATCCATGGGTTTCAGCATTCACCATCCATTTGTTCTCCACCATTATTGAAAGAAACTGTTAGTCGTAACACCTAAAACAATCTCAATATGCGAAAGCAGTGTAACAAGCCACCAAACACCAGAAATAATCACTCTTGGGCTTGCTAGTTGTGTAAATACTAATTCATCCCTCTATCTCACACAGGTTGACAGGAAATATGGCACTTGTAATTAAAACTTCTTGGTCATATGAAATCTCTTTTGGAAAATTCAGTGATTAAAACTTTCCCTTTTTTGTCTTAAAAAAAAGAAAAACTTTCTTGTCATGGTGTTCATAGACTTTTAATCTTTATTGCCCTCCAGAATTTAATTCTTGCTTTCAAGAATATGTTACTCTGTTTTTCAGTTAACCTCTTAACCTGTGTCCAGGGAGAAAAAAATCAGCATGATCTCTGTTAAAGCATGCATCATTCTCCTGTGAACTTGTAGGAAGGAGAAAAATGTCTGTTGGTCCTTTGAGAATACTTCTGCAATCAGATGAAAAAGCAATTATCTTACTAAGAAACACTGGCACCACATGAAATGTATTAAGATTGATCCCTTAGAGAGCTAGTCCTTGTAATAAAGTTACATGCTACAACAAATTTAATGTGTGCGTGTTGTTGCTGTATACTGTTTCTTTTTGGTAGATTGAGAAAATTTACTCCATCATTAATGTTAATTTCCAAAGAATTATGAATATGTATATACTATGGTTTCCTGGAAACATTTTTTTGTTTTAGGATTTTACTAAATGAGCTCAACTCAAACTAATGGAAGGCTGCAATAAATATTATATTTTAATGATATTGATGCATTTAAGTGACTCACAATGATGGATTTGGTTTTTCAGTATTGCTATCTAAGAATGCATCAGTCCTGGCTACAAGAGCCTGGTAATAGGATTTGGGCTGCAAAAAGGGTTTGGGGAATAGTACTTGTATTAGTATTTTTTGCTTTCTAAATTATTGCCAATTTTGATCAGTACTTACAATAATTTATCACGGTAATTCCAAATATTTTCCTTTATATATACTGCTACGTTCTAACTGAGATCTTGACAAGCTTATAAATAAACCATTTAAATGTTTTAACATGATTTATGGCTTATAGGAATCACATATATATTAAGAGAAATTAAAAGCTCTAACCCTTTCTAATAAATTGTCACATTTACTTACATATTGCATTTTACCACAATAAATGTAGCTCTCTTTAGTGGGTGCACACATGAGCATGTGTGCGCCTGCATGAACACACACAAACAGAAAAGGTTGGAGCTATGGATTTATATCCTGTATGTGAGAATAGTGAAGCATATCCTTATGAAAATATATATATATATGTGCTGCACAGCAATCAAGAGCTTATCTTAAGAGCAAGAATATTCTCTTGTATTGATTTAACAGTTTTAAAGCACAGTTTTAAAATGTCAAATTAACAGCAGCCAAAGGACATTTTTTGTGACACAATTTTTCTCTACTATCTTGATAATAGGCCCAACATACAGGTATTCTTAATTTTAGTATTAAATGTTTGCCAGTCTACTTGATGGTTATATAGAATATTTTAAAAGTTAGCAGCTATAGGATGTGAACTCCAGTAACAAGTTGTACCAGTATGATTCAGACCTATTATTTCACTTAAATAATTGAAGGCTGTCCAGGTGTCCTGATGTAAAAGCTGTTCATTCAGACAGGAAATTGTATCTTGTTCTGAGGTTTATTTTGCAATAAAATCCATAGACCTGAGGAATGAGCTCTGGGCCCATAAATCATTTTATGAGTGGACTGTTCTGACCTCAGGCCATTGAATTTTTTTCACGTCATTGCACTGTGGGAATAATAGAAATATAACCAACACATGGTCTTGACCCTTGACATATCTTTAAGTAAGAGACCCAGTCTATAAAATCATATCTGGGATGTCTTTGTAGTATTGGTTACACATTTGAGGAGACTCCCTTAGAGACTCTACAGGGAGTTCAGACTTCATCAATATCTAGATAGTTTTTCCAGAAATGTGGAGGTGATTCTTAAATCGTTTTTTTTTTAATCCAGAAATAATTCATGTCTAAGTTTTCATATAATTCCAACCTTATTTATAAGTGAAAAATATCTAGTTGGGTATTACTGTTGCCTCTTATGACAGACACTAATTATAATTTGTAGTAAATATTCAGATAATGAACTAGATCTGTAATACAGCAATCATCTGGTTCTCAGCAACAAGATAAGGATTTGAAATATTAAAAAGTTATTGAAAATATTTAAAATCTGGAACCTGCAAAATTATTTGTTTTTGTTTTTTTTAAAAAAAAAAAGTTTAAGTGATTTGTATTGCTTGTGTGTATAGTTTTGGAACTAGAGCTTTAAATTATAAACAGGGTGAATGAAGGTACTCAGTTCTTTTTTCTTTTCTCTTTTTTTCCCCAGACAAGAAGCCCTTCTAGCTGCCATTAGTGAAAAAGATGCCAACATTGCTCTCCTGGAGCTTTCGTCCTCTAAGAAAAAAACTCAAGAGGAAGTCGCTGGATTAAAACGTGAAAAAGACCGCTTGGTTCAGCAGCTGAAACAACAGGTACTTTTACAGTGCTCCAAGGCTTTTAGCTTATCAGAAGCAAATGCTCTTGATTCCTGCTTCCTCCAGCACCTCTTTCTTCTGGAGCAGAATATCTTAACCTTAGCCATTTTACGAGGGGAGTTGGAAATTTGGGAGTTGAAGTCCACACATCTTAAAATGCTCAAGTTTGAGAAACATTGCTCTAGATCAGAGATCCCCAGCCTTTTGGGCATCAGGGACCGGTTCCGTGGAGAAAGGTTTTTCCGCGGACCGGAGGGGGCATGGTTTTATGTAATGCCTGCATCCCACAGATGGGGCTTTCCTTGTTCGCGCGGACTGCTTTCTGGCATGCTGTGACCCGGTACTGGTCCACGGATCAGGGGTTGGGGACCCCTGCTCTAGATGACTTGTGCTTTTTAAATTTCTCAGAAAAAGGAAACACCACTATACCAAAGGGCGAGGTGTTCTTTTTTCAGTTTCTACTATAGTTAGCAGCAGTGGTGAGATTCAAATAATTTAACAACTGGTTCTGTTTGTCGTCATCACCGGCGCGCCACATTGATGTCATCACCGGTGCAAAGCGTGCCACATTAACGTCATCACTGGTGCGACATGCCTCGTTGCGGCAGTGTCCCCAGCACAATATGCCTCGCAGATTTATTGTAACCGGTTCGCCAAACTCAACAAAAAGTTAGGTATCGGTTCTGCCAAAACGGTGCGAACCGGCTAAATCCCGCCACTGGTTAGCAGAGAATTTACTCAGAAGGCTTTCCTGCCATTACAGTGAGGACCAAAGGTTGCTTTTCTATTTTCTTTTTCTTTTGCTCTGTTTTATACGGATTATGCTCCTGAGCTAGGTTTGTGATAGTCATCTTGGAAAGATGAACAGACTCTTATTAGTATTTTTATGGAAAGAAAGTAATACATGGTTGCCGGATTAACAGGCTTAATAATGAGGAGTGTTTATCTTTTCTGCTTTTTGTGTTACCCAACAACTGCATTGCGTTATCCTTGCTTGTGGGATGTTACACAGCATATGGCTAATTGTGAAGGGGCCTTTTTAGTAAGAGTCCATTATTTGTGAAATATCCTTGGCAGAAAGAACCATTGGGGGCCTAATATACTATATTTAGTGTGAACATCCCTTTTATTCTTTTTAAGATTTTTAGTTCCCTTAAGTCCTTCTGTTGTATTTATAAGATATTTGATATTCTTGGTATTTTGAAGACATTATTTTCCCTTTGTTGTTTTTAATTGATTTTAGAACCCTTCTAATCGCTTTTTGCAGATGAACTTTTATCATTTTTATGCATTATATCTTAAAAGGTAAAATGTAATTGTCACTTCACAGTAACTACTACAATCCTTTCCCAAAACATAGGTGGCCCTATCTTCTCAGCTGGTTCATGACAGAATATAGATTGGGAAACTGTTTCCTTATAGGTTTGAAGAACAAATAGGACTGCTTCAGGAAAATAATGTGATCTAACAAGTCCAGATGAAGTTGAAACTCAAATACTTTGGCCACCTATTGAGAAGGAAGGACTCACTGGAGAAGGGCCTAATGCTGGGAAAGATTGAGGGCAATAGAAGAAGGGGACGACAGAGAATGAGATGGCTGGATGGAGTCACTGAAGCAGTAGGTGTGAACTTAAATGGACTCCAGAAGATGGTAGAGGACAGGAGGACCTGGAGGAGCGTTGTCCATGGGGTCGCGATGGGTTGGACACAACTTTGCAATTAACAATAACAACAACAAGTCCAGATATTTGATCAGTATAAGACAGTATTACTTAAGTTATAAATCATAACTGAGCTCTGCTTATGTGTGTTAATAACTCCAAATAGTTTGAATTACTGTAATTATATATAATTTATCTATCAAACATGTGTCACAATATATTTCTGTTACGCTTTATGGCAATTTAAAGTGTAATCTGCTGTTCTACAGATTAATAATGACAGAAGCCAGTGCAAATTGATTTTCCTGTGATACCTTTAGCGGTTTAGATTTCTATCACAAAGTCTTATATTCCCTCTCCCCCCGAGTTTCCTTGTTTGAGTTGAGCAGCATTATAAAATTAGTACAGAAAATAAATTATTAAAAATAAATTAGGAAAAAGCTGTGGTTTCCACCTTCAACATGTTTATTGACATTCAGAGAGCTTTTATAGTAGTAAGAAAGCCTAGGAAGAAATAGAGTAGTAATTTGATGCACAGTCAAGTTCAAATACACAGGTTTTGAGCAAGAATGAAAGAACCACAGCTTATGGATAAAAACTTAATTTCTCTTCTGAAAAAGAAACTAATATTTTATATTTTTGACTTACATAATTATCAGTAAAGAAAAGTTTGATTCCCAAGAAGATATTTATATGCTGGAGTTTATCTGACTAGATCCTCGATAAACACATTGGTGGCCAGTAAATTTCCAGGCATCCTTCAAAATGTTGTTTTTAATCCGCAGAGCTGAATGTGGCTTTGTTTCTAGAAGACCACTTCCTCCCTGTAGAATTGTCAGCTTTCTGAAGTAGGCCAGATGAGACAGACTTTACAAGAACTACTGGCATTCTACTTTATTGATGTAGGTTATCTATAATAATAGAATCTTGAAAGCCTAGAATTGTAGGCGGTCAAGGTGGGGCAATATTAAGTTTCATTTTTATATTTCTCATTTCTTCCCAGGGTTGCTTGCTTCCTTGCTCTCTCTTGCTTATTTCCTATTTTCCCATTAGCCTTTGCATTCCTTCTGCAAGGTCTTTTCTGGGGTACTCTACAACAGGGGTGTCAAACTCAATTTCATTGAGGGCTGCGTCAGTCGGGTGGGTGTGGCCAGGGTGGGCATGGCCTACTGGGTGGGTGTGGCTGGAGTGGGTGTGGCCTGCTGGGTGGGCATGGCAGCTCTACATTGTTCGCATCAAGGGTGCCTGTGGGGGCCTGGGCAGGAGTGGGACAGATCTGAGGGTGTCTGGCAGAAGGGGGTGGGATCAGGGCAAGCGCCAAGGCATCGTCCACTGGAAGATCCTGCTGAAACCCCTCCCCCGGAGCCCATTAAGCCGGATATGTGAAATATGCGAGGGCCATTTGCTGGCCACTTCCATGCGATGGTGCATTTCTTCATTCCTCACAAAGGGTGACACTTCCCCAGCGCGCACCCAGGGGCGGGGCCGATGCGGCTGGGGCTGGTCCCTTGCTGTTTCCAGACGGCCTTGTGGAGCTAAAACTGAATGCGTTTCAGCATAGATGGCCACCACAAAATTGTACATTGGCTCCCAGGCGGCTGGGGCCAAGGCAGCGGGGGCCATTCCCTCACTGTTTCCAGGATGGCTTCACGGACCACATGAAAACACGTCACGGGCCGCATCTGGCCCCCGGGCCTTGTGTTTGACATGTCTACTCTACAAGAATTAACCTATATGCTTGTCCCACTTGTGGTTTTTTTCTCTTTTTTATGTATAGTAGGTAAGATGGGTGGAGACCCAAAGTCAGGCTTTTTCCAAGACATTTTTCAACCTCAGGAACAATTTTCCTTTGATATCTAACCCTGGCCCATTCCATAAGACTTCCAAGACAAAACTGTTTCGCAATGACTTTGGAAATTAGAATAATCAGCAGAGTTGATGTTTGTGCTAATTATTATCCTGTTGATTTGAATTTTTAATTTATATTTTATATTTCCTCTTTGAGTTTAATTGGGATTTTTTATCATTTTGTAAACCATTATAGGTCATTTAGATTCATATGGTAGTATATAAGCATAGTAAATAAATAATTATTTTGGTCACATCTGTTTTTGAGAGTACCATTTCTGTGTGAGTATACATACCTGGTTTAAATCAGTGTATATATTTTACAGGCCATTATAATAGTAATGCATCTCAAATAAAAGGTTTCCACTTGGTAACATATATAAGAAGACACATATGATCTGCCAAGGGAAGAAATTTAACAGCATGAGCACTCAAGCAAATAAAACTCTGCTCTGGAAGCAGAATTACAGTTAACTCAATTTGTAGTCTACCAAATTTAATTTTAATGTAAGAAATAAATGTTTCTGATCAGGAGGACTGCATCTGCACAATATGTATATACCAGTTTCACATAGGTTCATTTAATCTGCTCCAAAAGCATGAGTTGTTTTACGGTATCTTATGATCCCCCATTATTTTTAGACAGTGTCACTATTTTTCTTTCAATACTTTCATACCTAATGCAAATAGTCTTCAACTTACAACCACAATAGATGCTAAGCAACACAGTTAAGCAAGTCATCACATGACCAAACCCAGTTTTATGGTTACTGTCAACCTGGTCATTAAGCAAATCACATGGTCCTTAAGTAGATCCAGCTTACCTAATTGACTTTGCTTGTTGGAAGCTCACTGAGATGGTTGCAAGTCACCATCTTGGCTGCCGGACAGTGCAACCACCATAAATGGAAGCCAGTTGCCAAACTCCCAAATTACGATCATGTGATGGCAGGGATTGTGCATTGGTTGTAACTTTGAGTCTTTGGGTCATAAGTCACTTTTTCTGAGGCTGTTGTAACTTCAAACCATCATAAAATGAATGGTTGTTAAATTGAAGACTATCTGTAATTTCAAAGTTGATACAAATAAGGAAGAATATTGATAGCTCAGTGTGAAATCAGGGGTCCTCGGTGTTTTCTGAGCTTGGTTGTTTTGTTGCTGACGTTTCATTACCCAAACTAGGTGATGCAACCTATATATCCAGTATGTAGAAGTTCTGAGGATGTGATACACTATTTTGGTATGCTGTTGTAACCTGGAAATTTAATGTACATTTTCTCAATGAGGTTCCTTCCCAAAGTGTTGGATTTAAATTTCATTCCCAAACCAGTGGCATGAAGGTTGCCATAAAGCAATTCTTTTACAGTGTAGCCTCTCTTAACATTGTTTCTTTTGGTTTTAGATCGTTTGGTATCCTTACAATTCAGCATTACATCCAATATCAAGAATACTCATTCTGGACAAGTTATAAGTTCTACTGTCCTCTAC